ACATGACTAAAGTGGAAATATGTTTAATATGATTGTACATATATAGTCTATATCAGATAGCATGTTGTCTTGGGGAGAAATTTAGAACTCAAAATCTTATAAAAGTGAATGTTGGAAACTAAAAAATAAATAATTTTAAAAAGGATATGAAAATTTTTTAAAAAGCCATCAATCTATGCTGGGTATCTGGCTCTGCTACTGGTACCACATTCTCATAGCATCATAGATATAGAGCCAGAAGGGGCTACTTAGAGATCATCTAGTTCAACGCCCTCACATTTGACAAATGACGAAAATAAGGCTCATAGGGGTTAAGTGACTTGCCCGAGGTAACCCAGGTATAGTAGCAGATTCAGAATTCAAATTCATGTCCAAGGATCATAGATATAGATCTGGAAGGGGCCTCAGAGGCTATGTTGAACCCAACCTCCCATTTTATAGATGGGGAAACTAAGACACCCAGAAAGGTTAAGTGACTTGCCCACAGTCAGCAGAGGGATTTGAACCCAGATCCTCTGACTCCAGAACCTGCATTCTTTCTATTGAACCATAAAGTCTTCTCATTCTGCTGTTAGTCATTTTGAAGCATTGAGAGCCATGACCTTAAAATTGAAATGACCAGATTTCAGAAAGGACCATTGAGACCTAAGAAGATCACATGTTTTCCCTAGGAGCCCTGTGTACCTCTCAGACACGAACAAACAACAGATAATTCAACAAACATTCATTACAGAACTACTCAATAAACCCTTGTCAGATAAATGAAAAAGTAAATAATATCTACTTAATGAGAAGAAAAGGGGCGAAGAGGGGCTGAAGCCACAAGTGTACAGGCATCCTCCCTCTCCTTCCCCATAACCGACTCAGATATGCTATGTTCTCCCCTAATCCTCTCTGTCTTCTTAATCCCAAGCCTATACATCACCATCTTATTTTTTTTTTCATACAGCTCTACAATTCCATTGATGTGGGGAAACTCCCTTCACCTGTGCTGATCAGCAACTCATTTGTGACTGTCGAACCTGAACGTGATTTTCATGGGGAAGATAAGAGTATCAAGTGAAGGAGATGAGACAATGGATTTGGACTCCATTCCTCCTAACCTTCTTCCTCCTTTTTGTGGATATAAAGCAGCCTTGGCTTAGAGGAGTATCCCAGGTGGTCCCCAGAAAGTGCTTCTGCGAAATCTCAAGGTGTCTCTTTAGGACTACCAGAGGGCTCCAGGTCTCAGAAAAGAAGCCAGGTGGAAGTATTTAGCAAGGAGAAAAGTTAGGAGTACTTGTTATGGGTTCTGACACCTCAGTAGATGTTTCCAGTGACCAGATGTTCTGGGGAAAATCCAGGGCAATCCATAGGCCTTAAAAACCTCACTATAATGCCCAAAGGGCTATAAAATCTTTTGACCCAGAAATCTCACTACTGGGTTTGTATCCTAAAGAGATTAAAGAAAAAGAAAAAGAAAAAGAACCTACATGTACAAAAATATTTATAGCAGTTCTTTTTGTGGTGGCAAACAATAGAAATTGAAGAGATATTCATCAATTGAGGAATGGCTAAACAAGTTGTAGTACATGACTGTGATGGAATACTATTGTACTATAAGAAATGAGGAGCAGGATGTTTTTAGGAAAACCTGGGAAGACTTACATGAACTGATACAAAATGAAATTAGCAGAATCAGAGAACATTGTACAGTGTAACAGCAATATTGTATGATGATCAACTGTGAATGACTTAGCTATTCTCAGCAATACAAAGATTCAAGGCAATTCCCAAGGACTTATGATAAAGTATGCTATCCACCTCCAGAGAAAGAACTGATAGAGTCTGAATGCATACTGAAGTATACTCTTTTTTTACTTTCTTGTGTGTGTGTGTTGTTTTGTTTTGTTTTTTTTTTGCGATCTGTGTTTTCTTTCACAACATGACTAATCTGGAAATATGTTTAATATGACTTCATATGTTTAACTTATATCAAATTGCTTGCCTTCTCAATGAGGGAGAAGTGGAGGGAGGGGAGAGAATTTGGAAATCAAAATTTAAAAAAAATGTTAACAATTATTTTTCCATGTAATGTAAAAAGAATAAAATATTTAAGGCTAAAAAACAAAACAAAACAAAAACCAAAAGCCCAACCTCCATACAGCAGAGCAATTTTAGTCTAGATACCTTACCTAAGGCAGTAGGCCAGAGCAACAAGTGGAGGCTGCTAGGGTGCTAAGGAGAGACAGTGGCTGCAGCCCACTGGGATTTTCTCTTTCCCACATGCTGTGACAGAAAGAGTCTCTCAAGCGTAGGTCTCCATTTCTTTGAATGCTTTCTTGAGAGGAAGTTTCTTTTTCTACATTAAAAAACAAAATTCAAGGAGTTTTATTTCCAGGCTAGATCATTAAACCATACAGATAAACCATGTGCCTATCTCTCAGTGACTTGCAGGACCCTCTCCTCTTTTTTCCTTTTTAAAAAATGATTTAGTCTATAAAAATTTAATTTTTAATTGTATTTATTTAATTATAATTATTATAATTATTTAATTAATAATTAAATTTACTTTGAAATGTTTGCTATTTTCTGTAGAGATTCTTGCCCCTAGTTACAAAGAGCCCTCAAGTTTGTGACTCTTTTTTAGTGTGGTCTTCCAAAGGTAAGGAGAGTATATATGACCCAACGGGATATTAGGATCATAAGACTTAGAGCTGAAAGAGGCCTGAAAAACCTAGTCCAACCCCCTTATTCCTATTACAGATGGAACTGTATGTGTGGGGCACTGAATAAGAATGAAAAATAAAGAGAGCAATTAGAAAGAAGGAGAGCCAATGACATCTCAAGATGGTTTGATTGATATCAGTCAATCATAACTGAAAGTTATGGTCCCAGTGATCCCAGCTTGTCTGATGACCCTAAAAGTCACATGAACTTCTCAAAATACCATGATCAAGTTTAAGACTTATTCTCGTTATACTACACCCTGATGTTAAATGCAGCAATCACCATGATTTTTTTTCCATCCAAACCTATGAGTGCTTCTATGCCTATGGAGAAATCCCCGTGTGGAAACTCCCTCCACCAATGTAGATTGGCAATTCTTGTGACTTAGAGAGTTGCCTAAGACACTGAGAATTTAAATGACTTGGTCTGGATCACACAGCTAGTATATCAGAGGCAGGACCTGAACCCAGGTCTTCCTGATTCCTGGGTTGTCACTGTCCATGATGTGCTGCCTCTATACAGAGAAGGCCTCTGTGAAGCCAGAAGAAACATTGGACAGTCTCAGCTCTACAAAGCTTGTAACTGGATGTAGAGAAATACTTCCAGACCTGTTCCCTGTACTTACCTCTAAATATTTAAATTTGCCGTAATATGACATTCTCAATATATCCAGAGCAGAATTTAGAAAAGGGCTTTCATGCTTGCTGATGTCAAGAGGATGTTTGTATATAGTTCAACATATATTAGAAACTATTCTAGGAACTAGAGGAATGCAAAGATGAGTAAGGCTAAGTAAGGCATTTATAATCTAGCAATAAGAGAGATAACCTATCTATATAAATAGCCATAATACAAAGTGCTACTAGAGAGGCAAAAGATGAGAGATTATTCCTGGCTGGCGCAATCCTTTAGGAAGACTTTATGGGAAAGATGACCCATATATTTGGTCTTTAAGGACAAGGATGATTTCAACAGGAGGAGATCCTGTGATTTCATTCCAGGCAGAATAGAAGTAGGAATGAGCAGAAATAGCGGCGTCTAGAGGGAAGTATGGTGACCTAAGGCTGAAAAAGTAGGATGGAATCAGATTGTGGAGTACCTTAAATATTCTCTAAGAATTTTGAGCGAGGCAATCATAATCAGAGGTGTACATTAAGAGTGTTTCCCTGGCGGTGATGTGTAGGGTAGCTGTCTGTAAGAAACTTATCACAGTATTCTTAGTAGGGGACAATAAGGACTTGAACTCCCGTAATAGCACTGGCAGTGGACATGGAAATCGGGACTTTAGTTTCTTCATCTGTAAAATGAGGGAATTGGATTAGATGGCGTCTGAGGTTTCTTCTAGCTCCATCTGTGATTCTGTGATCATTGTGAGTGAACCCATAAAGGCAGAGTGGACAGGGCTTGACAACTGATCGGAGATGAGGGGCAAGAAAGAAGGAAGAGACAATGTTAACTCCATGGTTTCTAGCCAGTGAAATAGAAACTAGGGAAGTTAGGGAGACGGGTTTCCGGACAAAGATGGCGGAATTTGTTTTAGATATGGACTCGAGACGTTGGTGGGAAATTTAGGAATATACTCCAGCAGACTTTTAGATTTCAGGCCTGGAGCTCAGAGATGATGTCTACACTGCACGTAGAGAATTGGGAGTCATAGAGCTGAGTTGAAGGAATGAGGACAAGCTCATTGAGCTCATTGAGGGAAAGAATGTATGTTAAGAAGTTGAGTGTCCAACTCAGAGACTTGGGGATGCCTACATTGAAGAGGTGAAAGGAAGGGGAGCCAAGGAGGGAGAAGTCAAAAAGGTGGGAAGGGAGCTTGAAAGCAGTGTCACAAGTCTGGGAAGGAACTGGTCAGATGGAGTCACATGCTGTGGAGATGTTAGAGAAGAAGGAGGGAAAACAAGCAGAGGCCATTGGATTTGGTGATTAAGAAACCACTCTTAACCTTAGAAAGTCATGTGAGAGGAATGGAGAGTGGAAGCCAGACTACAAAGGGCTGAGGACTAAACAGAAGCAGTTAAATATATATACAGAGGTCTGTATACTTTTGGAGCAGAAGTAAGCTTAGCCTCTGGAAGGTTATGCCAATAGAACACAAAGCCCTGGCAGGTCTTATCAAGTTGAAAAGCTTTGACTAGGGGCCAGAAAACAGATCGTGTATGTCTGTCTTCTGAGAACCTACCCAGCGAAGTTTTTTTTTTTTTAAATTCTAAACTTAAACAGCAAAAAAAGGAAAAAGAAGGAAAAAAAGACATTCCCATACACACAGTAGAACACAAAAAAAGGATTGTCTATGAAACCGTGACATTTTATATGACTTTTAAAAAAAGTATTCTGCAGTTTGCTTTCAAAAATGTACTGTTGGCTTGTCCTCGCTTCCTTCCTCACATCCTTCTGTTCTCTTCTGGCATTCTGGCTAGCTAAATTTGGAGATACTAGGTTGCCCTTGGAGAGATGGATTTGGGGTGGGGGTGGGGGGAGCCACACCACGTCTTCAAGACAATATGCCAATTCATAGTGGGACTGTGATCTTACACTAGAACTATAACTAGTGTAGGGTAGTCCAGCATTATACAGACAAGTATCTCCTGCCCTCTCCCCAGACTTCCATCTTCTCCCTCCTTGCTAGTCTTCTAAAACCCCCAGGACCACACAGAGGCCAGGCCCCACTGAAGTACTGCAGAGAGCCATCAGATTTGCCTGATAGGGAGCCAAGCATTTGAATTACATCTTTGGGTCAGTTTTGAGACTGTATAAGTTGATTGTGGTAAGCTGTGATTTTTCTTCTCTCCCTCCATTCCCAATTTGCCACCCTGTTTTGGAGACTAGGTACATTTGGTTACACTCAGCTACAAAAAGTCCTTTGGGTGTATCTGTCTTGGTATAAGGAGCCAGACAGAGAAGGAAAAAGATTGAAGACTCCGACTTTATCAGAAATGGTTATAGCTTTTGCTCAGCAACTTTAGACGTCAATAACATTATAGTTTACTTTTGATTTCACTTGAATAAATTTCTTAATCTAGATGAGTAAATTCTTTGGAATGGAAAGGGATCATAAATGTGGTCTCCAAATGGGTAGGTACTAGAGTCATTGTAGTGTTATCATTTTAAAAGGAAAAGGATCTCCATATATAAAATATATATTATAGTAGCTCTTTTTGAAGTAGCAAAGAACTGGAAACCAAGTGGTACCCATCTATTGAGAAATGGCTAACCAAGTGATGGTGTATGAATGTAATGTAATATAATTACACTGTAAGAAATGATGACATGGAAAACTTCAGAGAAACCTGAGAAGATCTGTATGAACTGATGCAGAGTAACACAAGCAGAACCAGGATAACAATTGATATAATAATATTATGAAGAAAAATAACTTTGAAAGATTTGAGAACTGTGATCAATGCAATGTCCAACCACATTATTTCAGAGCACTGATTATGAAGCATGCTACCCAGAGATGTGCTAGATTCAAGATGCAAAATAAAACACAGAGAGAGAGAAAGACATACATTTTTGGATATAGTTAATGTGGGAATTTGTTTTGCTTAACTATGCATATTTGGTATGATAAATTTGGTTTTTCTTTTCCTCCCACCTCCTCCACATGAGAGGATAGGTCTGGGGAAGAAGGAGGAGGAGGAGGAGGAAGTTATTGAGGCATCTTTTTTTTACATGAAGAGAAGAGAATGGAAGGAAGGCAAAAAAAAAAGAACAGATAAGCAGGACATCTTTGAAAGCTACAGGTTGAATTAAAAAATTAGTAAGCTGTACATAATAGAGATCTGCAGGTTCATGTATAATTATCTTACGTTCTATATGTATATGAAATATTCATTTTATTTAGTGTTTAAGTTCAGAATAAAAATTAAATGTATACTATACCCCAAAGAGAATTTTTTTAAAAAGAGAAAAAGGATTAATATATTTTTAAAGTACTTACAGCAGTTCTTTTTGTAGTAGCAAAGAATTGTAAGCTGAGGATATGCTCATTAATTGGGGATTGTTGAACAACTTACGGTATATAAATATGATGGAATACTCTTCTAAGAAATAATGAAGGGGATGGTTTCAGTAAATCTTGGGAAGACTTATATGAACTGAATAAAGTGAAGTGAGTAGAACCAAGAGAACAATTTATACAATAACAACACTATTATAAAAATAATCATATTTGAAAGACTTTGGAACTCAATGACTGATCATAATTCTAAAGGACTCATGATGAAACATGCTACCTACCTCCAGATAGAAACGTGATGGACTTAGAGTCTTTTCTGTCCTTTCTTTCTTTTTATGGATATGACTAATGCAGGAATTTGTTTTGCATAACAATACATATTTGTAATGGGCTTTGTTTTTCTTGCCTTCTCAATGGGTAGGAGCGGGGTTATTTTAAAAAGTAATTTTTTAAGAAGATCACTTATGAGGGCGCTAATTCATTCCCCTTAGATTTTAAATGGTAACTAGTAAAGATAGCTAAGAGGCATGAAGGAGGTGCATCTGAGCCCTTTAAGTTTGCTGGGAGCTGGTGTGGTGTAGTCCATTATTCCATCAACACCCAGTAGCACCTGGAGGTAAGAAGCTGCTCCTCTAGTGCCATGCCCCAGTGGAGAAATGCAGTTCCCTATTTGATGCTCCTTTGTTTTTCCTTCAAGGTTCAGGCACCGGCCCTCTTATCTTTTTAAACTATACTATCTCACTAGGTGATCTCGTCCTCTCCGGTAGGTTAAAGTATCATCTCTATACAGAATTGATTCCCAGGTCTATAAATCTAGGCATAGTCTGTATCCTAAACTACAGTCCTGAATTAACAACTCCTTTTTGGACATCTTGTATTGGATATCCAGTAGGAATCTCAAACTCAACATGTCAAAACAGAACTCATTACTTCTCCTCCCACTCTCTGCCCCCTCCCCTCTTCTCAACTTATTTTTTCTTGTTGAAAGCACCAAGGGGCAGCTAGGTGTCACAGTGGATAGAACACTGGCCCTGGATTCAGGAGGACCTGAGTTCAAATTTGGCCTCAGACATGCAACACTTACTAGCTGTGTGACTCTGGGCAAGTCACTTAACCCCATTGCCTAACGCCCCACCCCACCCCCAAAGAAAGCACCAGCATCTTCCCAATCATTCAGGTTCATCACTCCATATATCCAATCTATTGCCAAACCTTGTCTTCTCTCCCTTTGCTACATCTCTCACATGTCCCCTTCTCTGCACTCACAAGCTACCAGCCTCATGTAGACCCTCATCATCTCTTGCTTGGACTATTATAATAGCTTTCTATTTGTTCTCCCTTCCTCAAATCCATCCTCTATTCAGTGACCAAAGTGATTTTTCCAAAGCATAGGTCTGACTGTGTCACCTCCTAACTCAAATTCTACCAGCTCCTTGTTCAAATCTAAGTTACTCTGGTTGCCATTTAAAGCTCTTCTCAAGTAGGTCCCTTTCTTCCTTTTCAGTCTTATGACCCTTAACTCCTTTCCATCTATTTGACCATCAGCTCCATTGACCTCCTTTGCTATTACCGAGTTGAGGTGCTCTAATTCCCATGTCTGGGCTTTTGCACTGGCTGGCTGCCTGGAATGTTCTCCCTCCTCACCTCCAACTCTTCATTTCCCCAGCTCCCTTCGAGACTCAGCTTAGATCCTACCTTCTTTAGGAGGCCCTTTCTTGTATCCCTAGCTACTAGTGCCTTCTCTCTGAGATGACCTTTCACTTACTTTGTACATATCTTGTATGTACATAGATATCTGTAAACTGTCTCCCCATTAGAATATGAGTTCCTTGAAGGCAGAAACTGTGATTTTTCTTTCTTTCTTTCTTTCTTCCTTCCTTTCTTTCTTTCTTTCTTTTTCTTTCTATTCCCAAAGTTTAACACAGTGTGTGGAATATTATAAGAACTTAATGCTTGTTGACTGTGTCCATGAATGTCATCTGCATACAAGTTACACATAGCAAATATCATCTTTGTGATAAAATCTGTGCAACATGACAGAGCAGAAAGTCTTGGATATAGAGTCAGAAGACTGGAGTTCAAATCCTGGGCCTGTCACTTATTTGATATATGATCTTGGATAATTCACTTAATGTTTCTAGGCCTCAATTTTCTCATCTATAAGACAAGCAAGGGCTGGTCTAGATGACCTTTCTGAAGTTCCTTCCAGCTCTATATTTGTAACCCTGCCCTTTTAGCTTTTGGCCTTTTAGCTCCTTGGGGACAGAGAAGGGTGGATGGATATCACATGCTTATAAAATATTCTATTTATTCTTAGCTTGTCTCCAGTGATTAGATCTAGGTGGGAACAAGAGGTGCTCCAATTGGACCTGAGAGTCTGGAGGCATTCCATACACAACATAACAGCTAGGACTAAGTTGGTGGCAAGGATTAGGTGGACCTCTACCTGAAATATCATATTTGGGGCTTTCTTAACTAAGGATGATGCCATAAGTCAAGGAGATCAAAGAATTAAGTTATCTCCTTGGTTCCTAGCTGCTGATTCCAGGGCTTGATTCTTCACTTTTGGTGACTTGTTGAATACAGGGGACACAAAGAAGATTGAGAGGTCAGAGAGGACTCCAAGTCTTCAAACCTGGAAGACTAAAAGAAGAGTCATTGAGCCCTTGACAAAAACCTTAAAGTCAGAAAGGGAAGCTAGTTTAAGCACCAAATTCCTCTA